GACAGCAAATACAGTTATAACAGGAATTCAAGAATTGAGTTGAAATATGTTATTGAACTGTCAAAGCAGAGATGCGGCAATGCGGTTGGCTCGGCGCCAATGTAATCCTCAACTGTGTAAAAACAATATTCAAGGAGATACTTTATTGAATATTTTTTAAGGCATACAGTACGTACTTATGAGAAGAGAATGAAAATGGAGTAAAATTATAAATTCTGTAGATCGTGTGTGTGTAAATTGTGTATTGGAGAGTGATAGTTTTTTTTATTTTATATTCGAATTTATTGTTATCATTCATTTTGAACTCTTCTGCTAACAGTACGGATTGTATTTAAAACAAATGACCTTTGAAAAATTGCTGTTCCATGCTGAGGCATGGTGTTGGTGGACTTGTTTCTGGCGTTTTTTGAATGGATTTGGGATCAGGATTATTCAAAAGTTTTTCAACGAAGTTACTTAAGCGAAGTTGTCTTTTATTTCCCATACCGAGCCACTTACAATAAATGAGATTATGAGTAGTGGAAGTCCGCAACAACTATTTTACACCTTTGAACTCTTATTATATTAATAATCGTTAGGCATGGACCGCAAATGAAGTGACAATAATTGATCTGACTCAAAACAATTGATTCACGTAGTGTACGTTTCAATTTGAAATTGGAAATATGCCCATTAATTCGAATGAGCTCGGCCTACCAGACTTTTGATGTACCCTCTTTAGGTGATTGATTTTCATCATTTGTTTACGTAGTTCCTTCATAGAATTCTGACTTTCTGATGCAATATCTATATCTCAAGATTGATTTACAACATACACAATTTCAAGACAACGATAAAAATAAAATAAATACAACAATAAAAATTAATTGGCGCTCCGGGGCGACTTCATTGATTCCAGTGGCGCATTTGCTTTTTCAGCTGCAGGAAAACCCGGAAAAACCTGCAGCATCACATCATCTGAAGATCTTGATCCAACAATGTCCTAAACACTTCGTGACACGACTATCGTCAAACTTAAACCAGTCCGTTTCTTCTTTGACCAAGGCGTAATAATGACCACATTCAACGCCAGAACCACAGTGAACAATGACCGCATGAATATTATAACAGTGGTCTGCTAGGTTGAAATGTGCATCTATTTCGAACCTTCCAAAGAGTTTCTTGCTTCCGTTAGAGGTTGAGTTTGAAAATCATCAGTGTTATTATTAGATTGACTGGTGCCTCAGCTATACTTGTTTCCTTATAACAGTCAGTTGGTTTGGCGCATGTTTGACAATACAGTTGATCATCACCTGTTAAAAATTCCATTTTCAGATGATTTAACAATAAGCTTTGCACGGACTGGTAATTAGTCGTATTAGGAAAAGCTAGATGAAGTTCCAGAAATTCACATAAGTTATCAGTACTTCTTGAACATTTACCAAAAAGTAAACAAGTGAGGATTTTTCCAGCAAAAGATTTACAAACAGAAGACGAGATGGGTAGTACGAAATCATTCAGCCCAGAGCGGCTGGGAGTATTGATTTTGCTATTGTTTTGCTCACGAAGAGTATTCAACAAGAACCCCAAGAATTCGAAACAATCCTCTTGTTGTCCTAACGAGTATTTAGTGGACTTCAAAGACTCCAGGAAATCGGTTGGAGGGAAAGATGATACCTTCTTACGAAACTGCAGCTGCATGAACAGTTGTTTGAGTTTGATGAATAAGCAGGAAACATTACCGTTCTCGTTCATCATTAAAACTTCGTTCTTGAAATTCTTCATCATGAACAACACTTGTAAAATGCTATTCATGTAACAAGTGTTTCCTAAATTATCCAATCCAATTTTCTTCTCTAGATTTTTAGGACAACTCTCTACTGATTCATAAGGAAGAACACGTTTCACAGAATCTCCATAAGAACCATTTCTCAAGCTGCGATCGATCCTTCCAAGTGAAAAAGGGTTTCGTAGAGGGATCGATTCGGCTCTTGCTTCAAGAGGCGCTTCCACTGAAATGGTACCAGTTCTACGAGGAATGCAACTCATTTTTTGGGGCCAAGAATGGCCTGAGTCCACTGACCGCACTGAAAAAGAAGAAGGTGGATCACTCACTTGTGAATTAACCTTGATAGGAGACTGATAAATATCCACATATTTTGGCTTGTTTCGAAGAGGTTTCAGTTCCGTACTGAAATTAGGGCAATGCATGATCTCATCAAAATTATGTGAAGATGCAATTCATAATTATGATAACCTGATATTTTACATTATTTGATGGCGCAGTTTTTTGGACTCTGAATGATACATAATTTGTTATTTCGAAATAAATTTATGAAAAGCGGGTGTCAAACCATATTTAATTTATTGAAAATATCTACATGATAAGTCCTATCAAATTCGAATGAATTTCCGTCAGGAAACATCTTGTACCAGACAATCCCCAATAAATACGCCTTAAAAGCTCAAACAAAGATGTTTCACTGACATATCGAATGTCTCATATGTACACAGTCTGCTTCGATCCAATCGGCCGTGAACCAAAGACCCATATCTTCGGTAAATAAACATGTACGTCTTCAAATATTGTTGCAGACATCACATTGTGTACATTTAACAAATGAAGACGGGTAATCCGACTGAGAATCGTGTTCTCATGAGTTCATGACATACATGCATCAAATCGACTGTGATAAAATGTGATTGATAAGTTGCGTTTTATTTTCTTTCTTATCTATATTTGATTTATCTTTACGGGTGTTTGATATCGGTGAAAACTAGTGAAGTAAGCACCAAGAGTTCAATATAGGTAATCAAAATTTTTATTTACATTTTATATGTATCTCTATTGCTCATAGATGACACATTATAATGCTTTATTGACTTGTAATGACTCGATAACAAGATTATGATTTTAGGGTTATCAAGTTCGTTATGCTTTCTTTGGGAAAAGTGAATGAAACCACCTTAGGATGATTACTATATCGACCAGTTGAGGCGTTAGTGGCAGAAAATCCAGAAATACGGCGAAAGTAGATTTTGGTCGATACTTAGAAGGCATTTATGAAGTTCCCAGTTTTCTTGTTTTGTTATACATAGGTGCGCAAAAGTCTGGAATTAAATTAATATCTTTTCAACCAGTATTTTAGGAAAAAAACGCTGAAACACGTCAGTTGATTTCACGTTGTACGCATTTTTGACAATGAAATTAAATTTTTTTTTCAACCCCTTTTTTTTCAAATGTAAACCTATGTCGTGTATGAATGCCGACCATAGCCTTGATTTTTTTTGTGGTTACAACGAAATGAGAAATAACTCTTTTGAAAAGTTACAAATACCTAACTTAGTGATATCTACGGGTGAACTAACGTAACAGATGCTGAAATTGGCATCCACCCTCTACCTGGCAGGCTCCTAAGCGATGGTAAACCCATCTACGGAATTCCGAATGGCCTCAGCCGGTATGTTATGTGATTCCACTCTAATTCTGCTTTTTAGATCTTCGATATTAGTTGGCTTATTTTGATAAACTTTGTCTTTCATATATCCCCAATAAAAATAATCTAATGGCGTTAAGTCTGGGGATCTTGTCGGCCATTCAATTGTACCACGTCGTCCAATCCAGCGTCCTGCAAATATGTCATCGAGATATTCTCTGACATTATTACCAAAATGTGGGGGAGCGCCACCCTGTTGAAACCAAAGTGTTTCAGTGGGGATATCTGGATCTGCTTCATTGGGAAACATAACAGCTAAAGCAAGGACTAATTCAAAGCGTAAAAAGTCTAAGTAGCGTGCAGCTGTAAGGTTTTCCTCAAAAAAGTATGGCCCTAATATTCTGTTGTTGATGATGCCTGTCCATACATTCACTTTCTGGGGACGCTGCGTACGAGCTTCGCATATCCAGTGTGGGTTTTCCTGACTCCAGAATCGATAGTTGTGCCTGTTAACTACTCCATGTGAATGAAAAGTAGCTTCGTCTGAAAAGAGTATCAGTTGCTGCCCATCAACATCTTTTCCGGGTATATCACCAAGTTAAAGTGTGGCTTGATTATCAGCTAGACCCAAAAGACTGGGGTTGGAAGTTGGTCGACAATGCATTAGAACATATTCAGACTTCACTCCCACCTGCGCCAGAAAAACTGTTGTGATCTGGCATGTTCACATTGTCAAAGCCAGTCATGTTCTAATGATGAATCACCAATAGTGGAAGATTCATTTGATATCAACGAGGAAACACGCGATATATCACTATTGACGCAGTTTACCTACACCCAGGATGAACATCAAGAAGAAGAAAAAGATCAAGAAGAAGAAGAAGACCAAAAAGAAGAACGACAAGAAGAAGTATTTGAAGGTTATGACTCAGATGAATAAATTTTTACATTTTTTAATGTCAATTGCTTTTATAATTTCCAACCTTTCCAAATATATTTTATCATGTAAGTTTTCAATTTGACAGAATCACAACAGACATGTGGAATAGGCCTACTGGGGAAACCACCTTAAAAAAACGTGCTATGTACACTACCTCATAGGTGGTGAGGAAACGTGTGCATATAATGACGATTACAACTTTTACAACTTTTTGTCTCGTCGTATCTCAGAAACGGTGGCTCTAAGAAAAAAAAGTATCGATACATTTTTTGTAGAGAATTTTATAATCTACATTTTTTATTCGGAATTATTTCATGATAAAACTCACCGTTTCCTGAAAATCGCGAAAAACCAATTTTTTTCGAGATTTTTCAAGGCACCGCAATCATTCGGAATTTTAAAATCTTATTTTCAACTATGTTTTGAACAATTACAGGTATTTGTAGATTGTTGTACTTAGATGTATGTACCTTCACTCTTATTTTTTACTCTAATCTGACCGGACTATGAAACGCGTTTCATACATACTCTTTGAGCTCTTAAGTATTTATATCTGACTGAGTATTCGAGATTAATTTTTGATAGAAATTATAAGACTGATATGATAGCAAACTGGGCAGACAACATAGTAGATCGATCTAGTTCGGCATATGTAGCACTCTCTGAAGCTGTAACCGAAAGGTATAAGAGATATGGTAAGAAAAGCATTTAATAATAATAATAAAGATCTTTTATTAATTTTCAGTTATACTCATATATGTGAACTAAAAAAAGTAAATAGGCCAGATTCAGTAAGGCAATCGGTGCCGGAATGTGTAGACTGACATCTGTTCTTCCACCCAACCCAAAACAGACTACTGAATGGCAAATCAAAACAAACACAAAAAAACATTGATTACTTTCAAATACACCTACGATACAAGGAATATAAACATTGCCATCACTAAATTAATAAATCTCAGTTCAAAGTGAAAATAAAGATTAGTCAAAGAAACATACTCAATTTGGACTGTAGTCCAATAACTGTTTGGTATCAAGCTTCGAAGGGTGAATAAACGTCTTGGAGTGAGCCAATCCTGGAAGATTCTGCCAGAAGTCCATGAATTTTGTTGCCATCCAGGTGTTCAATCATTGTTTGGCAAAGCCTAAAGCGATGCCAATAAAAGGTTCTGGTCCGATGAAACTGCTTGCAGCACAACTACTCAGTTGATAAACATTTCATTCCTTTTTTGATTTTTATTATTGTATTATGAATTTTTGTTAGGAAATTAACTTTTCATAACTCTATTATCGAGCAGTCGTCCTAAATATCTATTTGCCTGGGTTTTTATGTTAATTTTCCCATCGCATATCATTGAAAACAAAAGTATATTGCCGGAAAGCAGATGAATATTCAGAACGCCACCACTTGGGATGTTTCGAGTAGGTACTCATTGTTAACACTCTTATGGATTGAGACAAGGAATTCGGGCCCAAGTGGTTGACCCTTCTTGACTATATTTATGACCCCGACCATTGTAACTGAGGTTTCCACCGAGAACTGAACCCGCTCAAAAGTCTCCTCGCTGATCGAGAAAATACTTAGCGTTAGTTCCTCTCGAGATTCCCCTGCAATTTTCTCTTTTGTGTTATGTTTGTAGTGTTCTGTTATTGATAAATTTTGTTGTTGATAAACTCTGTGTCTGAATAATAATTCACCTATCACCATAGAGTTTACTCTTTCTAACCGTGTGCAAAATATTTTCCACTACAATTTGTATTTCTTTAGATTATGAAAGGTGAAAAGAAGACAATAATTACTTTCATTTCATGTTGTTCCACCATCATCGCTATCCAAGATAGGAAAAAGGAAACGAAGAGAAAAAAATTAAATCTTTTCACCAAAAATGACTCCACTTGTGTACATATATTACGTATGTTCGCCTCCATAACCTTGTGTATCTGGAATTAAGAGTAATAAATACCATTCCCTCGAATTCCTCCAAATATTTATACCCGTCCAATTATTTACTCTATCAGTTTGAAGTTTTCTTATCTGTCCCACACTTCTGTAATGGTTTTCATCGCTTCGGAATTCCCGGTAATAAATTCTGTGTCCCTCCTAGTTCACAGACGGGAAGAATCCTAGAGAATGCAATTTTCGTACCGTGTATCTGTTGAACTGAATGTACGAAGTCAATTATAGAAATGGGGTGACAAGGGTGCAGTGGCGTGCTGTTGAGAAATGTTGAGAATTCGACACTAACTCACGATTTAAACCCGATTTGTAGGTACAGTCGACTCTGGATTATTCTAAACTCGAATGCTGTGTATTTTGAAACGCTCAATAACCGAAACCGTTTTGTAACAAGAAAGGGACAGAACGTTTCATAATTCGAATCAGGTGACTTCCACTCTTTATAATTCGAATTTTTCCTAGCAATGTTTATTCCTCATTTTCCACGTGATGTTCACCTCCTTTCTAGGTTAACTACGCAATAGGTACCTACTCTTTAGTTGTGACGATGAGTGCAAGACAGGAGTGTGTCTCTCTCACTTTCTCCGTCAGAAAAAAATATCGCGGCTGTGGAATTCGAAAAAAAAGATATCGCGAAAACTTTAAATATTCCTCCATCAACGCTGTCTACAATTCTGAAGAATTTCATTCCATACATACTTGTTCATCAATATTTCAAAAAATATATGTCTTCAGAGTTATCTCGCTGAATGTATGGATTACACCTAGGTATGAAATATAATACATGTATTGTGCTTTCCCATCTATTATGCAGAATTGTAAATTATGTACATCTCAAACTCAAATTTATAAAAGGTATATGCTTAATAAATATAATGAGTGAAATCGGAGGTAAATTTGATTCTGATGGTTTAAATGAATTGTTGGCAGGAGAGTTAGAAAAATCTGTATTTATCAATTAAAAAAAATATTGATATGCGAATGATAGCAAAGGTGAACAAATTTGGGTCTCTTTGTATCATATAACTTTTCAAGGCAGTTTTGAATTTTCCTATATCATTTGAAGTTTTCAGGAAGAAGATTGAAAAATTTGGGACCAAAATAAAAAAAACTGAGAATTTTTCTGAAAAGTGAAGTTTGTAATGATGTGACTACACTTGACCTTGTTTTATCATTTTATAGTTGTTTGAACTCACCGTTGTTTAAATAGGCCCAGATGATGCTTCTGTAAATACAATAGGAATTCATATTCATTATCGGTGTATTGTTGTTATTATTAAACCATGTTGATTTGAAAAATAATATATTCGTATCATAGTTTTTCAAACATATTTTAATTGCCAAAAACATATAATGTTTATTTTTTTTCTATCTCAACATCGAAAAAAAAATAATTTTGCAAAATAACTAGGAATGCATTTTTTACAAATCACCAAAAAATGTAGAATACCTACCCAGTTTAGGTACTTAACCTTTTTTACAACTTGTGCAACAATATTTTGATAGCGTGGATCGTTTCGCTTCACAATAACAAGTGGCACATTTCTTGCATTCCTTCAATATATCTGCATACAATAATTTAATTTATATAGAACAATTAATTAATAATAGAAAAGCCCCTTTTATAGTCGAACTAGCACTTAGTGAATACTTTACCGTTGATAACTGATATTATTGTACAAAGTTATATATGGGGGCGTAGCTCAGATGGTAGAGCGCTCGCTTAGCATGCGAGAGGTACCGGGATCGATGCCCGGCGCCTCCAACTTTTTTTTTCTTTATTCGATGTTGAGGAATGTTTGACAAATAATGTTTGTCTTCTTCTTTAAAAGGATTTTACGTAGAGTTTGAAGGAGAAAAATAAATGAATCTGCTCAACTGTCATTCCAAAAAGTTATAGCGAAATATAAAATTAAAGTCTAATTTTTTATTATTTTTTTTTCATGTGGCGTTTATTAAAAGTATGTAATATAAAATATGAAACCACAACAAAAATTGAATGATTCCAGTGGCGCATTCCAACTGCAGGAAAACCCGGAAAAACATGCAGTACCAATAAATATTACTGGATTTTTTTCCCAACACCAAATCGTTATTTTTAACACCTCGACCCGTGTTTCGATCACCAAGTGATCATCTTCAGAGAGGAAGATTAAAACTAATGCGAGCTAACCTATTTATGCTATATAAGTATTCCATACAGGTAAACCATCCAGGCGTACCACCCATACCGGTATACCAACCTAAATTAATTTTACAGTTTTGCCTTATCTATTATTTTACAATATATGTTTATATACACTTTTCAGCAATATAAAATTAATTTCACATATTGCCTATCCAAATTTATTTTTGCAATGTGTCTTTATGTAGTAATCAGTAAAACAAACAACATTATTTTATTTCAACAAGCTATATAGTATGCTCTTTGGTATAGGTCCCTCATCGCGTTATTCATAATATTATTGTGTATACTTATTTTTACACTCTCATAGGCATCTAGTTGCCTGTTGTTGTTAACTTGTCTAACTAGTCTTAATGAACTGAAGTCTATGGAATGGTTTTGCTGCAAAATATGATGAGCGACTGCTGATTTTTCAGGTCTTCCATATTTTAAATGTGCTATGTGTTCCTTACATCTTACTTCAATAGACCTTTTTGTCTGTCCATAATATTTTGCATCGCAGTCCTTACATTCAATTTCGTAAATTCCAGACTTTTCTGAATTCTTGACTTTGTCTTTTGGACTTCCCAAAAGGCTCGGTAGTGTATATATGACTTGTTTTAAAAACCACCTTCATTCCTAGTTCCTTGAAAATCTTTCCAAATTTTCTCGTATATTGGTGGTATGGAACCAAGATGTATTTATCTTGGTTTTTGTCCTTTCTGAAAGTAGAGATTTCGTACATTCTTAACCTAAACTTCTTCTTCCTTTTTATTTCATCTACAATACCCTTCGAGAAACCGTTAGTGGCTGCTATTTCCTGTATTCATCTTGGTTTTTGTTCTTTCTGAAAGTCGGGATATCGTTCATTCATAACCTCAACTTCTTCTTCTTTATCTTGGTTTTTGTCCTTTCTGAAAGTTGTACCATATCATCTCAAGATCTTGATGTGCCTTTTCTCTCTTTCATGTAATAAAATTTAGGGTGTCTCCAGAGGCTCCAATAAATTCAAGACATCGCCAGAACGTTTAGTGACACGACTATCGTCAAACTTAAACCAGTCCGTTTCGTCTTTGACCAATGCGTAATAATGACCAGATTCAACGACAGAATCACAGTCTAATTAGTCAGTAATCATAAGAGTTTTGATTTCCCAATCATTTATTTTATTTATAGGCAGATTAAAAGGATCATAATTATTAATATTACTACTGATATCACTACGTAAAAAAATGTTTTATTTATCAGTTACTTGTCGATTATAGTAATGTTTTCGATAAAAAAAATTGCTAAGGAATTATACCTACAGATAGGTACCTTTTATCCTAACGTTTCGGATGCTAAAATCTGTCTCCACAAAAATGACAATAACCTTCCGTTTAATATTTTGATTATTTTGAATCTAATCGAAACATATCACATGGACTAAATAATTGTTGAATATCTTCTGAAATATAATTGATTTGAAAAGTTTGTATATGACTAATGGAGATTTCTGAAAAGTTAATCGATACTAGCTCATATAAGCCCGGCTAGCTCAGTCGGTAGAGCATGAGACTCTTAATCTCAGGGTCGTGGGTTCGAGCCCCACGTTGGGCGCTATTTTTTTTTAACACTTGACTATATATATTTTTGTTTGACTTCACTCTGTATCAGTTCAATTGTTTCTTGTCAGTGTCATGTCAAGCATAATTTTATCGTTCAGTCCAAATTCATTGGATACATTAACCTTTTGAATAATCGTTAATGAGCATCAGAGTTGTAGTAAAAGGTTCCTTCATCAATCTATAATCCCAAAACAACTGTATATGTTATTATAAAAACTTTTTTGATTTCATTGAATCTTGATATTCTTCCTTCTTCGCGTTTTCGG